GTTTTTTTTACTTTATGTATAAATTAATTGAATATGTAATAGTATATTTATAATTTATGTAAAAAATTTAAAAGGTGTTTCAGTAATAATATGTGATTATGTTTCCTATAATAAGAAATATATACTTTTGAATAAGACAAATAAAAAAAAAAAATCAATTAAAAGGGAATGAATACATATTTAACTTATATAATATATTTAAAAATAAAAATTTAGATCCATTATGGTCATGTATATGATTCATTTGGATCTAGGTTTATAACATATTTATTATTTTTTTTCGTTTCAAAAGTATAATCTTATAATATTTTGCAATCAAATTTTTTTTAAAAAAACAAAATATTAATATCATATTAGTAGTGAATGTAAAATATTGGTTAGAGAAAAAATAAAATGTTCTTATAAGTATGTTTTAATGTAAGTATAAAAAGTAATACTCCCTCCGTCCACACATAAAGAATACAATTATTTTTTAGCGCGGTGTTTATAAAATAATAATATTTTAATTATAGTGGGTAGTTAAAAGTAGTATAATGATATTTTTGCCCTTACTTTTTGGTATAAAACTAATGATGTGATATAAAATAGGGGTATTTATAGGTATTTAATAAAATATTTACTCTGTAATTGAACGTTCGAAAATAAAAATATGTATACTTTTTAACTGGACGGAGGTAGTATATTTTTATAATAAGAATTAAGTTTGAATAAGTTTAAATTGCTATGACTATTTATGATAATAAAATTATTATTTTGAAACGAGTAAAAATAATAAAAAATACGACGAATATTGAGTTTTGGAGTATAAAAATATTACATGACACAAACTCCAAAACAATTTTACATGACAAACTCTCTTCTTCATGTAAAAAAATATTTTTATTTAATTTAGACAAATTTTAAAATAGTAAAAAAAGTTATACTTCATTCGTCTCATAAGAATGATATTATTCTCTATTTTTTTCATCACAAAACAAATGTATCATTTTTTAATTTAATAATCGTATTACCTATATAACATAATTAATACCCTTACAATTTTTAATATATTAAACAAATATTATTACTTTTATATCACATAATTTAATAAGAATATTTTTGTTTTTTTCACTATAAACCAATAATACTAATATTAAAAAATTTACGAAAAAATAAATAGTGATAATTTTATGAAACAAAGGTAATATATGATCGACGAATAAGGGAAGTGAGAATATATCTTTTTTCACAAATGAAATGTTTCTTTCAATATAAGTTTAAATTGATTTAAAATAAAATACTGATTTAAATTTTTATTTAAATAATATTTTAAATATTTTTACTATTAAAAATAAAAAAAATACTAGTAATACTTATTATTATATTCTCTTTCGGTCTTATTCTAAAGTATTTTTTAAGGGTTTTGTATAAATTAAAAAATAATACGAATTTATTAGTAAAAATACGAAAGAGATTTCGATATTTTTATCACTTTTAATTGTTAGAAAGTACTTGTATATTTATAAATTAAATAAAAATTAATTAAATTTTAATATTACTATATAATTATTTTTATTAAAATAAAAAATAAAATCGATAGAACAGATAAGATAATAATACTATAAAAATAAATTGAACTGATCGAACTTGGTTTGCAGGGTATTACGTTCGACCGATGATTTATAATAATATTTTCGAATAGCGATTGTGGATTGCCACGTCATAAAAAAAAATAAAAAAAATAAAACAAAATTGAACTGAAACTAATAGAATATTTTTATTAAAATTTGTGTGATGTTGAAATATTTTTAAAAATAATGAAGTACAAGCTGCTAAAGCTAAATGGTACAATCAAGTGCAACAATAACTACGGCGCCTTTTTTACACGTGTCACAAGTCTGACGGTGATAAAATTATTGTATCTCCCGATATTTAAACAGATTTTTATATTCACCTTTATTTTTATTTCAAAATAAAAAGAAAGTCGGTGCATGCCTTAAGCTCTCTTTAGGTAGATATTTTTAAGATTTTTTAATATTATTTCCTATTCGGATCTAGAGACTCATTTAATTTTTATGTGATTGATATTTAAATATTATTTATTATATTAAAATATAGTACAAATTAAAAAAATTATAAAAATATTTTCATTAGTGTCTTATAATACTAATAGAATGACATTTATATAAAAAATTACACAAATAAAGATATTTTTAATATTAAATACAATGACGCATAAGGTAAATGTGACTCTTTCAGGCGGACTGACGGAGTACAAAAAAAGTGAGTCACTGCGCGTTCTTTTTATTGAACATTAAATAATATTTTACTTGTATTTGTCAACATTGGACGCGTTCACTTTGTATTTTTAAGTTATTGTATTTTTATGGTAAATATGAAAAATTGTATCGATAATATAAATAATAATATTTTGTATTAAATTATTAAATTTTTGAATAAATAGAATATAAATATTATATATATTGTATTTTTTTTTGTCATATTTATAAAAATCGTGCTAAGAAAAAATAGATTGAGCGAACAAATTCATTATTTATGAATATTAAACGCTTAAAGCACACACAATGACCAAATCTTTTAAATGTCCCCGTAAATTCATCTATCATACGTGTTAAAGCAAGTTATTGAAGGGAGTTAAAAAGAACGCGGAGTTGCTCACAACATTTACAGTTTGTATGTTTAAATACGTGTGTAATAAACCAGACACGTCTGTGTTCGATCTCGTATCACCGTCGAGTCAAACACGGTCAAGTACCATCCTGTATATGTGAAATACGGCCGTATTTGTAGAAACACAGCCGTATTGTTAAAACTTATTAGTGCTTGGGTGATAGATACACGGCCGTGTTTGTCGCAAATTATATCCTACGTGTTGTTGATGTGACATCGACGTGATGAATATATATTAGCTGTGTCAGCGTCACATCAACAACAACAACAACGTGACAAATCCAACACTAAAGGGCTATTTTTGCGAAAAAAATTTTAGTTATGAGACTATTTTCAAATATGATTCATTTAATATTTTAAAATAATAAATGTGTCAAATACGAAACTAAAAAATAATTTATCCTTAAATCTTTTAGGGAAAATTATTATTATTATAATTATTATTTGTATTGTGCGTGACTTTCTTATCATTTTAAAGTTATAATTAAACCTCTTATTGGATTTGTTTTACAATTAATAAAATTCATCAAAACTTTTTTCGGATGCCATAATTGTTGGATGTGATAGCGTTGTGATATGTCGAAAATTTTGTGAATAACAAGTGAACATCTACCCGATGATCAGTTTATGACCATAATTAGACCTTATTTACATTAATAAACCATTAATTTTTTATTTTTTTTAATTTGCATGTTCGAACATGAACATTGTAACATAATTAGCTCAAACAGGATGTAATAATTACAGTAATAAAATCAAATATTTATTTTTATTTTACTATAACATTGCAATAAAAAATAAATTTTTTTTTAAAATATTATATCGATATTTATTTACGTTACATCACACGGTAAATTCAAACTTTTAAATCAAAACCTCATATTCAAACTTTCGTACCTACCACCAAACAAATATAAGAAGTAATTATTGTGTTGAAATATAAAATTCAGTAAAATAAATCATAGAAAATGTTTCTTTTTATTTTTTTTTCAACAATTTCAATTGTTTTTAATTCATTATTTTTTACCACATTATTAATAAAAACATATTATTTAATATTACAAAATATTAGAAAAATAATAAAAAAATATTCTTCTTAAACATTATTACAATTTCCCAAAATATTTTTATAATTTTAAAAAATAATAACAAAATCTCCACTACATGTAAAATGCTACTTTTTTCATCCTACTTTTTTTTCTTCTATTATTTTTATTTTTGTAAGTTCTATTTTATTTGTCCTTTTATTATTACAAAAAATAATTATACATTGTAATCATATTTTAAATTTAATAATCAATAATTTTTTATTTTAATTAAATTAATTACTTATCTAAATTTATAATTATTTATATTTTATAATAATTATTTTTTAATATATTTTTTAATTATTTACTAATTATATTTTTTCTAAATGTGTATCTACAATAAATTAGACATAAAAAATTTATCGGATGGAGTATATATTTGGCTTTGATTTAAAAGTAAAATTACTACAATTATTTAATTCATGAAGAGTTTGTTTGATTAGTGTTTTGTTTTGAAGTTTTTTTAAAAATAATATAGAGAATCGTATTGATAATATAAAAATATTATTTTATATTAAAATATTGATTTTTGTAAAATATTAAAATATATATTGATAATAGTATTAAAAAAATTGATAAATAAATTTAAATTACGTAAATTTTATATAAATAAAAAAAATTAAAATATTTTCAATAATATAAATAATTTATTAATCTCTTATTTTAAGATTTTTTGAAAATAAATTATTATCTAATTTTTATAAAAATTACAAAAAAATAATTTAATTAATTAATTATTATTTATTTAAAAACTTATTTAAAATATTTTATATTTTTTATTTATATAAAACTCGCTTAATTTAAATTTATATTTAGAACTAAATATAAGGTTTGGACAAAAAAAAATATTTCATATAAATTTTATATTAACATAAAAATTTTACTTAATAAATATAATATGAAATATTTTATACAATTTTTACTAAAAAATGTGTCATAATTTAAAAAAAAAAAAAAAAAAAAAATCTCAAAAGAGTATGGGACGAGACCCAAAAATATCTCCATCACCCATCCACATACGAACGGCTGAGATTCATCCGGCGCATAAGTCCCGGCTCTCCCAAGAATCAACTGTAAGTTCATTTTCTATTCAGAGGGCAGCGTAGTTGTCTCCCACGCAACAATATTAAATAATAATAATAATAATAATAAACAGTTCTTTGAATATCGTATTTATTATTAATTAATATTTAATTTATTTGGAGACGTGTATAAATGTATGGAGCCTTAACCTTATCGATCTTCTTTCTCCTTGTCCGAGACTGACCCTTTTTTGCTACTTCCGTTTCCGCTGTTCTTCTGTTTTGCTTTTTTATTTTTTATTTTTCTTTTTATTTTTTTTCGGGGTTTTCGATTTCCTCCTTTTCGAGGAACGGAGCTTCTCTTGCAGAGTTTTGTACAGCTCTTTCAGGTAAGAAATTTTTGGATCTCATGTTTTGAATCTGTTGATTTTGAAGATTATTCTACGTTGGATCTGAGAATTGGGTTGGTTTGAATGATATGAAGCTTTGGTTGTCCTGATTTTGACTTTTTTTTTTTTTTTTTGGTAATTTTCGGACAGTTTTTGTTTAGCTTGTCTGAGCAATTCCGTTTAGATCTGTCTGAATTTTTGTAGATCTGTCCGAAACAATTTTCTTCTTGTTCTTCTGTTCGAGTGATTCAATTCAATCTACCTTTTGAATGAATTGTCGATGTGAAATCGTTTTTGTCTGATCTGTTTTGTTTATGCACTGTTCTAGACAAAAAATTAACAAAATTAAAAAAAGAAGAATTTCTTCGATATCTCCAACAGATCTGCTCGGATTTTTACTCAGTTTTCTTACATTATTATTGAATAATTATGCCTCTAAACTGTTGGCTATTTTGTCTGTAATAATCAGTCAAAAAAAAAAAAAAACTCCGGCGGCTGTTCTTAATTTCTCTCTCTCTCTCTCTATCTCTTGTTGTCCAGATCCAGGAAAACCTAGAAATCATACATACAAAACGATGTTTACTAATCGTTGTTTACGAAGCTGTTAATTCGTGATTTTACTGTAAACTGACATATCCTTTCTCGAAACTTTTCAGGTTATCAAATTTTTTTTGTGTTGTAAGAACATTAAGAGATCAGAAGTAAATAATTTATTTCCAAAAAAAAAAAAAAAAAAAAACCAAAAACGATGAATCAGTTTGCGGTGAAGCAGAGCAGCGTGGAGACGAAGGCGACGGTAGTTTGTCCTAAGCCGCGGCGGCTGGGGCTTATACACACTAACCTCGAATCCTGCTATGGAAGGCCCTTCCGATGGCATATGAGGTAAGAAAAGCTTTCTAAACATCGAATTTATTACTTCCTAAGCTTTTGATGAACTTCAATTTGTCTGATCCTATGCTTTGTGCTTCTATTACAGCCATCTGCAAGAGGATTGTATCGATTCGAAAGCTGGGAATGAGCTGCTGGACATAATCCTCTCAAAGGTTTGTTGTCCTAATTTCAATAAGTTCTTCAATTCGAGCATTCACTTCGTATGATTGAGATCTTATTAGTCGAATACCATTAGAAAAAATAAATAAATCGAAGGTGTAGTAATAGAAGAAGTGTTGGGTAAGTCACACCTTTTGTGTTTTGATAATTGAAATTTATTACATTGCTCTCGGATCCGTGGAAACGAATTAAATCCTTTAATAAAACCGATCCGAAGCTCGAATATGTTTGTAATAAGATATGTTTGTAGTTGAAATTTTATTACATCGTTCCCAGATCCGCGGATCAGAACTAAATTCTTGTAATAAAGCTGATCCAAAGCTCGAAATTTATTACACTGCGCCCGGATCCGCGGAACCGAATTAAATTCTTATAAGAAAACCAATACAAAGCTCGAATATGTGTGTTATAATCTATGTTTGTAGTTGAAATTTTACTACTTTGTTTCCCGGATCAGAACTAAATTCTTGTAATAAAACTGATCCAAAGCTCAAAATTTGAAATTTATTACACTGCCCCCGGATCTGCGGAACAGAATTAAATTCCTGTAATGAAAGCGATCCGAAGCTCGAATATGTTTGTACTAATCTATGTTTGTAATAATGAAACTGATCCGAAGCTCGAGCATGTTTGTTCTAATCCATGTTTGTAATAATCTGCAGGGGAATTGCGGCGCTGACCAATCGGCGGCGCAAGTAGCCTCGTCGCCCCCATTTTTTTCCGGGTCACCGCCGAGTAGAGTATCTAACCCACTAATTCAAGACGTGCATTTCGGGGACGAAAAGATCACCCCGGTCTCGCCGCGGGCGCTCCCGACCCCGTCCGGGTCTTCTCCGACGTCGTCCGCCCGCAAGGGCGGTTGCGTGCGTGCAAATTTTGGCAACAATCCGGCCGTGAGGATCGAGGGCTTCGACTGTCTGGACAGGGACAGGCGCAACTGCAGCATCCCCGCCCTCGCTTAACGGAACGGATCGGGGTACGCTAATTATATATATATAATTATATCTCTATCTATATATATATTACAAATTCGGGCGAAAAAATTGAATGTTTTGGCGGGGGATGTTGTGGATCGGATCGGATTGGATCGAGGATCGTTTTGTTTGAATGTGTAAATATATGAATATATGTATGTATGTAATGATTTGAGGTTTGATCGAAGGTTGTCTGTAAGTAAAGTATGTTTGATCGGATGGATCGATCGATTGATCGACCCGATTTGACGGCGTCGACCGGAGAGAATAATTTATGTGTAGGGAGAGATAGGGAGGCAGCCCTTCTTTGTAATTGTGTAAGTAAGGGATGAAAAGAAGGGAGCTTTTGGTGTTTTTTCTCAGTTTTGGGAAAGAAGAAAATCTGTCAGTTGTAAGAAAGAATTATGTAATATTATTATTATTATTATTATTATTATTATCTTTAATTTATATATGTAACATATTTAACATTTATATATATAAATATATGTAAACTTATATATATATATATGTAAATAATTTGAATATTTGGAGATTTGCATTTTCATTGTTGTGTTATGAGTATTTGTAGAGTTGGATATTTTGGACACTTTTGTTATTGTTGTGATTGGGAGTTGTAAAACTTAATATAAATAAATTTTAAGAAGAAAAAAAAACAGAAAGTATTTAAAATAATTAATTTTGTTTTTATTATAAAAAATAAAAAATAATCATCATTAGAAGGTCGGCTTTAACGCTTGGAAATTTCTTGGAATAATGTTGGCCACAATTTGTTGTTAGATTTTAACCATAGAAAAATAATATCATTTATCTTTTTGCGTCGTAACATTAAAAATATTCTTATATTTATTTATATAATTTATTTTATAAATATTATTATATTTGTATTTTAAGAGACTAATAGAATTATTTTTGTCATTTTTTTTTTAATTTATACCACGTATTGATATAATAATTAATATTTAAAAATCAACACACAAAATATTGATATTATTTATATTAATGGAACATAAGAAATATATTATTTATATTAATGTAATACAAATATAATATAAAAATTAAAAGCATATGACATTCTTATAGAGTGAGCATTGAAATATTTTTATAGAATATACATTTTATAATTTGAACATATAACACATGCTATATCTACTTTTGATAAAAATATTATATGAACTTTTGATATAAATATGGTACTAATTTTTAACCAAAGCAAAGTAAAAATTAAGTAAACAAACTCTTTATAGTAATACTTTTCTCATTATCAGTATTATATACTTTTATTGTTTTTCTAATAAAAAAAATAATAATTTCTATACATAATATTAAATTCAACCATTATTTTTTATAAAAAAAAATTAAAATCAAAATCAAAATATAAAAACACATTTTTCAAACAAATATATATACCTATTATTGGTGTGTTTGTTTGGAGATTTGGATTTTGATTTGTAATTTTGAATAGTAAAAAATTTAAATTGAAATAATTGTATGATGTGATATTTTGAATATAAAATTAATTTTTAGTATAATATAAAAATAAAAAATAAATATTTAATTTAATATTTTTTTTTTTTAAAAAAAATTGAATAAATAATTAAAATCTTTACGCAATCCTCCAAACAAAGACACCCATAGCTATTGGTTGGTTTTGAATAAATGGAATAGTGAATTGGGCAATAAATGCGGGAAAGGGAAGGGACCGTTAGAACCTAAATTTGAACTTACGTTCATAAAGCTCTATTTAATGTTGCCTGAAAATGTACAACTTAACTTCCTTCATTACTCAGAGCATCTAATATAAATGTTAAGTTTGTTAACTGTATTTTTCTAACCGGATCAACATATGTCATATACATAATTTGTATAAATTTTTATATAATACAACATATGCTGAATTATAATATAATATATGATAAATTATAAATATGTCGATATATATATATTTATAAATATATGCTAATACAATCATATCAAACCATATTGACTTGACAAGATCAGTCGCTCATCCATGTCCTTCTTATAAATATTATTTTATCTGTCCGTTAAATTTATTTTCACGCTTTTTTTTTCGTTTGCCCATTAAATTTATTCTATTATTATATTTGAAAAGTCAAAAAGTCAATATTTAATCATTATTTTTTATTCAACAATTATTTATAACAAATACTACTAACTTTATTATATATATATTTTTATTCTTTTTAATTATTAACTAAAATTTTAAAAATACCATGTACTATCATCTTACTTTTTCAATATAATATTCATTTGTTTTAATCTTCACATTAATTCCAAATATGTTAATTTTTGAGAACAATAGAGCATTAAAAATAACATATTTGTATTCCTGAAAAAACACCCAACATAAATTCCGTCCAATATAATCAAGAGACAATGGATCCGATCCAAAAAAATATGGCCCGGCCCAACTTAATGAGCCCGAACCCAAGATAAGATGAAGTCAAACTTTATCCAAAAATTGATTATGTAAAAAAGGAATTATAGGCATAACCACACTTCATATGTTTGAGAATAGGGATGGAGAAATTTACCAAAACATACCGAAATATCGACTTTGTACCGTATTGTGTTGAAAATATTGAAAATTTCGATATAATATCGGTATGAATTTTCGGAAAGTTCGCTATTTCGGTATGATACCGTACCGATATTATTTTTATTAAATAATTTAATTATTAATATTTTATTTTAAAATCATAACAAAAAAATATGTAAACTATTGAGAATTTATTGATTTTTTCATAATATTTTTGTGGTGGAGAATAGTAATATTTATTAATTTTTTAAATTATTTTTAAATTTAAAATTATATTTTTGGTATAATCTGTATATACCGGTATCTACCGAAATCAAAATTTTTTGTATAAGCGGTATATACCGGTATCGTACCAAAATTGAAATTTTCGGTATAAACGGTATATACCGGTACCGTACCGAAAATTTCGGTATACCGAAATTCGATATATTGAAACTTTCGGTACGATACCGATATGTATTTTTGTCATACCGAAAAGTTCGATACGATTTCGATATCAATTGGTACTTTCGGTACGGTACGCTGTGTCATCCCTATTTGAGAATGTGGACTTAAGTGGGCAAATTGCTAAATTTAAAGGCTATATTGTGGAAGATACTTTGTGAAATGTGAGATTTTTGGAGAGAAAATAAGGTAGATATTCAACAAATAAAAAATATATAATATGAATATCATTTTATAGAAAATAATTTTTTTTATAAGTTTAATAAATAAATACAATTTATTTATAATTTATTTCGTTATAGTCACGTTAGCTTATTTAGTTAAAATTTCAACGATACGATAAAAAATGATAATTTATTTTTTTGTATGAAATTAAATTTGATAATTATTTTGAATGAGATAAAAGTAAAAAAATAAAAACAAATTTGATTGGAACCAAATTAATTTTTACTCAAAATTTAAGTTGGTCGTTTTTTTAATTAAAATTCTCTAAATATAAATATAGTCTATAAAGAATATATTTTTTAAAAAATAATTATATTCTATTCTTATATTATAACAAAATAATTATAATGACATGAATTTTTCTTTTTTTTAAAAAAAAGAACTCAAGAAAAATCAAAACAAGAAACAAACATTTAAGTTTTTTTTTTTTTAATGAGTTTGAAAAAAAATTTGGTTTAAGTTTGGTATTAAAATAATGTATGATAAAGTATTTTGTAAGAGAAAAAAATATACTATCTTTGTCCCACTTAATTTTGTCTATTCTTTCTATTTTTTATTTATCCCCATAATTTTTTTATTTTTTTTAAATATAATTCTATACTTTAATCACATTTTAAAATTTTTAATTTATATACTATTTCGGTCATTTTTAATTTATATACTATTTCGGTCTTATAAGAAGAGTATTATGGTATTTTTGAACTTTGATCTTTGAACATTAATTATTATATCAATATATAATACAAATAAAAAAAAATGACAAAAAAATACCTCTATTGATCTTTTATAATACAAATTCAATAATATTTTAAAGTAAATTATACAAATATAAAAATATTTTAAATGTTAACTATAATTATACAAAAGACGAATGATTACTTCTTATGGAACAGGTAATATATATTTTTATTTTAATTAAATTATTTTAGTTATTTTAATATATAATTATTTTTAAATAAAATATGACAATTTAAATGAAAAGGACTAATTATTTTTTGGGAAAACTGAAAGTCATATAAATACGGGTTTTTCTTCATCCTCTTTCTTTTCTATCTTACACCTTCCTTTTTATTTCTTCTGTTTTGGCGTCGTCGTCTTCTCCGGCGTGGCCACATTTTTCCGGCGGGAGAGTTTCCGACGGCGCTGGATTCTAAGTCCAACAAACATTACCTCTTCGGCTCATCAAACTTTCTCTGCTCTGTAAGAACACAAACACTACTCTTACTAATTCCATTAATAATTTATAAAAAATATTTGGTAATTGCATTTATAGCGAGCCTGAGAAATGGCTTTCTACACCTCTTTCAGGTAATCAATTTTTGGATCTGGAAATAGGCTTGGTCTGAAATCTGAATGATATGAACCTTTGGTTGTCTTGAATCGACTTTCTTTTTGGTAATATCTGTAGATCTGTCCGAAGCAATTTTCTTCTTGTTCTTCTGTTCGAGTGGTTAAATTCAAACAAACACACCCATCACGATGTTGTTGGGAGGAACATAATATCGCAAAATATGAAAGGCACTTCAGCAGAAATACTGCTTGAGGTTGGATTGTTGGTAAGTCATTAACTCTCACTTCGTTCGTTCGGCTCTTAAGGTCTCATTTACCTTTTGCGTCATTGTACTTAATATTAAAAATATCTTTATATTTATATAATTTTTTAGAGAAATATGTATTATAAGACACTAATAAAAATATTTTTGTCATTTTTTTTAATTTATACTATTTTTTATATAATAATTAATATTTAAATATCAACACGTAAAAATGCATAATGATTAAATATTTTTTTATTAAAAAGTAAATATTACCTATAACTTTTTTTTAAAAAAATGATAAAAAAAATAATTTAATTAAATTGATATTAATATATTTAGAATAAAAAAAAAACGAGGCAGTTAGTTGGTTGAACGGTTAAAACTACCATAGCGTCCAGCCTGCTCGGTTGTCTGTGGGATTGTATTAGTCGGATCTTTCCTCACTCGTCCGACTACATTTGGTGTTGATATGCCTTGAATCTATTTTGTCACTTATCTAAGTTTTCACGGAGGGCGAAGTTACCCTTGCCTGGGGTCCGGGGGCGCAGAGTGTCCCCCGGCCGACGGTATGCAGTATTAGACTTTTGAGTTGGTATTGGCTAAGCTCGTTTGATGTATTCTTGTAGTTTATATAAATAGACTTACGGATACGACATCTGTAGTTTGTAGCCTTGTTGTCGTGAATAAATTTGTTCTCTGTTTATGCCCATGGATTAGCCAACACGTTGTTGGTGAACCACGTACATGTGTTTTCTTTATGTTTTCTATTTGTTATTCGATCATTAATCCTAATCCGTCACAACACTTGGCTTGACTGGAGGGCATCGGCACATCTCAATTAAGGCTGTCGTCGTTGGCCGGTAATCGGTGGCTGACCGGTGAGAGCTCCACACTTAATCATTTTATTTGGAACTTCTGGATCGTCGCTCATCAGTGGTGGATAGAGCTGTAAACGAGCCAAACAGAGCCGAACTTGTTATGTTTGAGCTCGGCTCGTGTTTGTTCGTTAAGAGATACGAGCCGAAATTTTTGTTTAAGCTCGGGTCGTTTAACAATTTTTTTGTTCGTGTTCGGCTCGGCTCAACTTATTAAGAGAAATCTTTTTTTATTTTTTTATTTTTTTAAAAAATATTAAATTCTGTTAATAATAATGATAGTTTTTATAAATAAATTTAAATAAAATTTAATATTTATAAAGATATATATATTTATTTAAATTATAAAATTATTAACTTAATTTTTAATAAATATTGTCGAACGTTCGTGAACAAACTCGAGCTCGTTCGTTAACAAAACGAGTCAAAATATATGTTCGTGTTCGGCTCGTTTAACTTAACAAACGAGCTTTTAGCGAGCCCAAACGAGCCGAACCGAGCCAAACTCGCGAACTATTCGTTTGTTTTACAGCTCTAGTGGTGGACGTCTGCTGGCTGACTGACTTAGGTACGAGCGTAAAGAACGTCGCTCGTCACATCTGGCTGCACCATCGTTCGTCTCGTCATATTTAAACATTATGAGTTAGAATTGTCAATTAAAAAGGCAAAAAACATCAATAATCTTCGCAAGCGAGCTTTGGATTACATAAAACGAAACAGATAAATAAAGTATGTTATAAATAAGATATTGTCATGATTCTTATGTCAATATTAAGAAAATACACTGCTTTATCAAACGATAAATATACTATTATTTGAAGTTATCAATCTCCTAGTTTTATTGTATTACATTTAAATATATATATCTATAATTTATTCCAATGTATTGTATTACATTTAAATATATACTGTGGCGGACCTACCCAACCCCACTTTTACCCTATTTTATTAATTTTTTTAAAAAAATAATATATATATAATCTATAGAAAATATTTAAAATAAATAAAAAAATAATAAAAACATCAACGTGTTGATTTTTTTTAATAAGAAAGTGCATTAGTTTTTTTTTCAAAATATAATATATCAATATTTACTAATAAAAAATATTGTTTATTATTATTATTATTATTTAGACTATATTTGATATAATAATTAATATTTAATATTAGTATGCAAAAAGTAAATATAAAATTATTAAGTGGATGATAGTAGTATTAGTTTAAAATAAAAAATTTATTTTATAAGGAAAGCATAATACTTATCTAATTTATTATCGCAAAACATAATATATATTGTTATTAGGCTGCAAATTCTGTGCCGATTTGACCAAGTCAGTGTAGTGCTGATTTGATCGGATTAGCCTATAATATAGGATGATCAATATATATTTATACATATCTTAGTATAGTATATGATGTGATCAAATTAATACTATATTGACTTGATTGGATCAACAGCCGATACATACCATTGTTATTGGGTAACATTTTGTAGACAAATTGTACTTCATCCGTTCAGTTAAAAAGTATACATATTTTTATTTTGGAACATTTTACTAAAAAGTAATCATTGCATTAAATACTCAATTTGTTTTTTATAAATACCCTTAATTTACATCACATCATGACTTTTATACCAAAAAGTAAAGACAAAAATGTCGTTGTACTACCTATCTCTACCCACTATAAGTAAAGTACTATTATTTTTTAAACTCTACGCCAAAAGTAAACGTATACTTCTTAATTAGACGGAAGGAGTATATTTTTTCATTATAGTGGATTATTATTTTTATTTGTATTTAATTGACATGTTATTAGTGATATATTGTATTTATTGATAACGAGTCGGTTAGCCACTTAGCCACTGATGTACTTAGGGTGTGTTTCTCCCGTTCGGGGAAATTTGAGTCTGAGTTTGATTTTTATTTGAATTTAGGAGTGAATTTGAATTTATGTGTTTTTTTTGTGTTTAAATTTGAAAAATTTTAATGTGTATTAATTTGATGGTAATGAATACAATAATATAAAATATGTATTAATTTGTAAAAAATATGCAATTTTCTACAGAATGCTAACTAATAATAATAAGTATAAAACTATTCGTAATAATAATAATAAAAAAAAGGAATATTATTGATAACAAATATACTATTGATGTAATTATTAATTCACTATAAAGGGAAAAATATTAATTCACTATAAAGGGAAAAATATACTCCATCCGTCCCACATATCATGTCCACGTTGCCTTTTCTGTTCGTCTCACGTACCAAGTCATTTTCATTTTTTTGAAAAATAATTACACACTTTAATCTCATTTTAAACTTTTTAATTTTATTTTTTTAATTTTAATTAAACTAATTAGTTATCTTAATCTTAATTTATAATTATTTATATTATCGGATAATTATTTTCACTAAGACATTCTTAATTATCTACTAATTACACTCCTTCTAAAATACCGTGTCTATAGTGTAGCAAACACTGTATGTGAGATGGAGGATTACAAATTATTTACAAAATACTATCCAATAGCAATAAATAACATACTTTGTTATAATCAAGTAGACATATAATATGCTGTCGACAACAATAAAAATACTATTTATTATAAATATAGAAAATGTTGTCACAAAAGATACGCCCAATCAATCCGAATTGTGTAGATACTTTGAGCATAAAATTATAGTCCTTCGGTCCAATACAATAGTATTATTTATTATTTTTATTTATTTCAAAATAATAATCTCATTTCTATAAATAACCATATCGTTATAAAACTATCCTTACTTTTTCATTATTATTACATAATTGTCATTATTTTTTACACTAGTATACTCACAAAGGTAAAAAAAAATTTTATCCATATTTTTTATCCACTATCAATATAATATCAATATTTCTTAAATCTCTTGCTAAACACAACCCAAACTATAATTTTGGAACGAAGTGAGAATAAACTTACTGACATCAGAAACATCAATTTGAATATTTTCTAATATATTGTACACGAGCCAAATATCATCTGAATTTGATAAAAACTATGTGGTAGTATTAAATTATCAGAATGTCCTTTTAAAATTAAAATATGCATAAATGAACGGTTAAACGACGTCGTAACACCATTAAGTGGCAATAAAGGGACAGAGTTGGAGAAGCATAGTGTGAATTAAATTATAAATTAAGGATGTGTTTGTTTGGGAGTTTGGATTTGAATAGGAAAAATTTTGAATTAGAATACGTATATGATCTGATATAAGTAGGTGTTGATTTGATATTTTAAATGTAAAATTATTTATTATTTTTTTTGTATAATACTCCGTCCGTCCCACTTAATTTGTCATTTTTTTTAGAAATATAATTTACATATTTTAATCATATTTTAAAATTCATAACTTATAATTTTTTTAGTTTTAATTAAAATATTTAGTCATCTTAATCTTAATTTATACCGCATTCGGATCTAAAAATCTCATTTACTTTTTGCATGTTGATCTTTGAATATTTATTATTATATCAAAATATAGTATAAATTAAGAAAAATTGAAAAAATTACTTATACTAGTATTTTATAATACTAATAAAATGACATTTGTTCAAAAAAATTATTTTATAATATGAGCCTGAGAGGCTGACAGAGAGAGTAATTATTTTTATTAAATTATAATTATTTTTACTAATATATTTCCTAATTATTTATAAATTACACAATACCTAAAACTCTGTGTCTCGGTTAAAGAGGACAAATTAAGTGGGACATAAAGAGTATAAAATATAAAAAATAGATGTTTGATTTGATATATTTGAAAAAAAAAATTATAGAGATGTTTCTTTTGATAAGTTTGAAAAAATTTTGATTTAATTTTGATATTAAAATAATGTATAATAATATATTTTGTAAGAAAAAAAAATATTTTTTTCAAAATACACATAGTTAAAATAGTAAAAATATAAAATTTTAAGAAACAAACCCTATATGAATACTTAAAATTTGAAAAAATGTCCCAAACAAATGCACCCTTGACAACATCAGCAGCTTTTCTCCAAGTATTATATTCATAAATAATAAATAATAAATAAATATATTTTTAAAAACCACTTGACTTCGGTGGTACATACATACATATAGTTATTATATATACCCCTTTCATCTCTTCTTTTGTATCCCTTTCTTCAATTTCTTACAAGATTCCGATAAGATTCTCCGGCGAGAATTATGAGCTGCAACGGCTGCAGAATCCTCCGGAAAGGCTGCTCCGCCGACTGCGTCCTCCGACCATCTCTGAACTGGATCTCCTCCGCCGACGCCCAGGCCAACGCCACTCTCTTCCTCGCCAAATTCTACGGCCGCGCCGGCCTCCTCAATCTCATCAATGCCGCCGCGTCGCCGCCCCTCCGCTCCGGTGAGTCTTAATTTGATTCCGCCGGAATATTCCATACGAATTTTCCGATCAGATTCTGATCCCTCGCTCAAATTAATTTTGCAGAGATTTTTAGGTCACTGCTGTACGAGGCCTGCGGGAGGATTATAAATCCGGTGTACGGCTCCGTCGGGCTGATGTCGTCGGGAAATTGGTCGCGCTGCCAGGCCGCCGTCGACGCCGTTTTTCAGGGAGGTCCAATCGCCGCCGCCCCCGCCGCCGCCGCGGCGGGTGATTCTTCCGCCGTCCTCAGCTGCGACATTCGCCACCTGTCCAAGGACTCCCCCGGCCGGCCCGTGACCCGGACCCGGACCCGGAAGAGGAGACGGGTCGAGTCGTCGGATTCTGAGGCGGAGATGAAGTTCACTATTACGGGGTGGGACTACGGCGGCGAAGATTACGACTCGGCCTCCGTGGAGACGGTCGAGCCGGCGTTGGTGAACCGGGTTGAGTATCCGGTTCGTGCTGAGCCGGAGCTGCTTAGCCTGGACTTGTGCTTGGGGCCCAATCCACTGCGACGAGCGTACGGTTTTACAGTGGTCGATATTTCCGACAGCGAAACCTGAATTAATTTAATTTAATTAAATTAATTAAGAGTTTTAGTTTAGAAATTATAATAATCTCTGTTTGTTTTGGGGATTGTTATTTTTGCAGATGTCTGAGAGTGTGAGTTAGGTAAAATTGCAATTAATTAGTGGTTGCAATGAGAAATATATATTTTATAATTTTAATCCTCCAATTTAGGGCTATTTTCTCGATTCGGCTTTTTGTATTTTCTGTTGTATATTTTGGTTAATGAGTGGAGAAATAATATTATAAAATAATTATCTTACAAGCATATGCTCATTTGAAAGTTGATTTAATTTTTTATTTATTTATTTTAAATATGTTAGTATATTTTACAAAACATGTATTTACATTATTGTTCAAATAAATAAAATAAAAGCCAAATAATAAATCAAATTTCAAAAGAACACCAATTTATTTCTCCAATTATGGCTATGTTTACTTGAAGTGGCTTAATTTTTATTACAAGTATATTTAATTTTAAAAAAATATATTACCATAAAAATTGATACACATTACAAAAAATATATATACACAAATCATTGTTTTTATAATATTTTCATTTTTTTTTATATATATTTAACAACAAAACTACATAAAACTATAAACACTAAACAAATATACTTTATTTTTTTTTAATTTAGAAATGTTTATTATTATTATTTTATTTTTACAAAATATTAAATCCAAATAATTATTTATTTAAAATATATAAAACAAAACCTCAAGGAAACAATCCCTTAGGTATTTCTATGGAAAATAGTAAGAAAGTGAAAGGAAATTGACGATTATATATATATTTTTAAATTAAATTCGACAACATATTTGAATTGAGATTCTTATTATTAAAATCAGAAAAAAATTTAAATAACTTTTGTAAACGGTAAGAAAAAATATGGGTTGAATTAGTACAAGTCAACTTTGATTTGCTTCTTACAATGATCTTTTGATGAATGTAATTAGTACAGTGAAAGTGTGTTTGTTTGGAAGATTGTATTTTAATTTCAAGTTTCAAATAATATTCCATTCGTTTTAAACAAGGTGTAACATTTGATTTCAGCACAGAAGTTCAGGTGAATAGTATTACTGAGGATAATTAATTATTTCATATTTTAAAAATATTGCAAAGTATTTGGAAAATAAAAAAAAATATATATTTTAAATTATTATTTATTTAAAATAAAAAATTAATTAAGAAATAGTAAAAGTCCTCTAAAAACCCTCCAAGCAAAGACAACATTAAGAATTCACAACCATAATACATACTCCTTAATTATCTCCAAACTCAATGTATTATTTTTATTATTTTCGATTTATTCCATTCAAATGTATTTCTTTTATATTATACTAAAAATAATTCATATATAAATACAAAAATATCGCCAATTTTTACAAAATTATTTATTTTTGGTACTTAAAATGACAAAAATATTAAAGATAAGAATAATTTTTACACAAGAAAATACTCACTAATTATCATTTAAGTATAATATTTTTTGAACTCTAAAAAGTAAATGCATATTTTGTAGGTTGGCCGAGAAGTAATTTATTATAACAATTAGGTCTTATTTATATACATTTAATTTTTTATTTTTATACTATTAATCTATATACAAATCAAATATTTTATTATTATTATTCTTCAAATTTTCCAAAACTTGGTGTGTTTGGTTGACAATTTTCTTTTCTTTTTATTTAATTCTGATTTTTTATCAATGTTAAACCAACAAAAAAAAGTTTAAATCATCGGAAGAATAAATCCAAAAGATTTTCAAAATATCATTTTACACTAAAAAAAACTAAGAATTTTTAGGAAAAATAAAAATAATTATTTAATGTGATATAAGTAAATATTATATATATTATAATATAAATAAAAAATAATATTTATATATAGTATATTTAACAAAAATTAATTTTGTGATATGGTATTTTCATAACAAAATTGTTATTATAATTACATACAAAATAAATTAAAAAAACAAGTATTAAGTATAATAATATTAAATAAATAATTATAATTTTTACTAGTACCAATATTATATATATATATATATAGATACATTTCTCCTGCTAAATATCCATATATGTTGATGAAAAGGCAAATATATATATTTAATAATACTACATGTAATAGGGTTTTGGACAATAATTATATATATAAATATAATAATCACTAAACACTCACAAATCACAACTTGCAAAAATAAAAAATAAAAAATAAAATAAATAATATTATTTTAAAATGTGTGTCGACATTGATAAAATATTGCAAAACATGTCACCATTAATTTAAATATGCATAGTTGACAATATTGTGGTAATTAATTATTTAAATAATGTCATTAAATTAAATAATTAGTGACATAATATATATATATATATATATATATATATATAAAACATCGTTGGTTCTTCGCATATCACTCCACCATGTGAGAGAGAATATAATCTTATTAAATTATAGTGACATTTCTTTAGTTTGCTTTGAATATTGAACATTGATGCCCATTTTTTTTATTTATTTCCCAACAAAATTATTACAATGCAATTAATGTATGATATCCCGTTGGAAGGGTGGCGTTTGTTTTTTGCACTGGATTATAGTAAAAAAGACAAAAATACTCTTATTAGTACGGTGTAATATAAAAATAATGACATTTGTGTAATATTTTGTAAGTTGAAAGGGTATTTATTATGTTAAGTAAGTAGTTTAATTACTAAATTAGGAAATTGTAACATTGTTTTTGGACGGACGAAAATGAAAAATGGTAACCTGGGACGGAGGGAGTACAATATTTATTTTTTTTATTTTCGTCTATCTCATATAATTTGTAATTTTTTTTAAAAAAATATATAATTATACATTTTAATAATATTTTAAATTTATAATTTTCATAATTTTATTTTTTATTTTTTATTCTAAATAGTAATTTGTATATGATATTTTAGAAAAAAGTATAGTTTTTTTATAAAAAATACGATGATTATATTGTAAAGAAAGAAACCAATTTCCAAAAAAAGCCGAAATTTTATATAAATCATTTTTATTAAAAAAATTAATTGAATAAATAAATAGTGTGTTCAATTTGTATTTTTAGATAAATATATTTTTTATGTTAAGCATGTGAAATCATATTGATCATATAAAAAATAATATTTACTTTTCTCTGTTCCACAAATGTCATTGCGATAGTATTATAAGACACTAATAGAAGTATTTTTGTCATTTTCCCTTAATTTGTATTATGTTTCATATAATAATTATTATCCAAAGATCAATACGCAAAAAGTAAATGAGACTCTTAGAGCCGGACGGAGGTAATAGTATTAAATTATTAACTTTTTTGTGGGTGAATAAAATATACTACCTTCGTCCAACTTTAAGATTTTCAATTACTTTTTGTGTGTTGATATTTGAATATTAAATATTATATGAAAACGTAATATAAATTAAAGGAATATGACAAAAATACTTCTATTAGTGTCTTATAATACTATTACAATGACATTTGTGCAAAAAATTATACAAATATAAGAATATTTTTAATATTAAATACAATGACAGCAAAACGTAAATGAGACTTTAGAGCCGAAACGAGAAAATATTATATATTTTTATTACATTTATATAAATTATAAAAATAAAAGGGTAAACTGTTTTTTTAGTCCCAGACCCCTTTATTATTTTAGTCCTATAAGTAGAGCCTGTCGCAAACTAATCCTATAAGTGAAAAATTTTCGCTGTTTTAGTCCTCCGGCGCCGGAGACGCCCGCGTGGCTCACCGGAGGTGACGTATCCGCCAGGTGTCCCGCTAGGTCAGCGACACCTGACGGATACGTGGATTTATTATTATTTTTAAAAAAAATTTTAAAATTTTTTAAAATTTGACCAAATAAAAAAAATACAAATAAAATTTAAAATAAATAAAAAATAATTCTAAAAAATAAAAATAAAAAATCCACGTGTCTGCCAGATCAACGCGGACACGTCCCCTGGGTGAGCCATACTAAACAAAAGCAAAGAAATATGTTAATATTGAGATCCATGTAACTTAGACACTAGAGAATTAGTGCATAGTGGTCCACGCACATTAATTAATTAATTAGTAGGAAATTACAAAGTAGATCAATTATTTAATTAATTATTAGGTGAAATATAATTGGTTTGCTTGGGCAGGTTGCCGCGTAAGTCTTTATATATATATATATATATATATTTGTCACTCAGCAATATTTATATTTTAAAAAATTAAATAAAAGAAAGTGATACGTTGATGTTGTTAATATTGAGACAAATAAGCTAAGTCTGCTTATTGGACAATTATTTTATTTATTTACGTGGTGGCTCTTCGCAAGAAGCATCAGCCGTGACTCACTTATTTTAATTAACGTCTTTGTTTGGATTATTTTTACTTAAATTATTCATTTTTTTTAAAAAAAAAAATTAAATTAAATATATATTACCTCCGTCCGCCTCTAACGATCTCATTTACTTTTTGTGTATTGATCTTTGAATATTAATTATTATATCAAAGCGTGATACAAATTAAGAAAAAATTGTAAATATACTTACATAAGTGTCTTATAATATTAATAGAAGAATATTTGTACACAAAATTATACAAATATAAAGATATTTTTTATATTAAGTGTAATGATGCAAAAAATAAATGTAATCATTAGAGGTGGACTGATGGAGTATAGTTTCCTCCGTCCCATAACTAAATATTCATTTGTTTTTTCACGTAGTTTTAGAAATATTAGTATTCCCTCCGTCCAGCTAGAAAGTATACATGTTTCTATTTTGGGACGTCCAATTACAAAGTAACCATTTCATTAAATACCCTATTATTTCCACAAATACCCCTATTTTACATCACATCATTACTTTTATACCAAAAAAATAAGGGCAAAAATGTCATTTCACTACCCACTATAATTAAAATACTATTATTCTTTAATCTCCGCGCCAAAAGTAAATGTATACTTATTTAGTGGACGGAGGGAGTATTATATTTGGATGTAGTAGAAATAAAGTAGAAATGATAAAATAACCTTATTAGTATATGTGATATAAAAAGTAATGACATTTGTGTAATATATTGTAAATTGTAAGAGTATTTGTATTGTTAGGTAAATAGTACAGATACTAAAAAAAGAAAATAGATACTTTGTTATGGGACGGATTAAAATGAAAAATTAAATACTTTGTTATTGGACCAAAGAAAT